TTGACTGGAGGAGCACGACCTTGAGTAAGGAGTGAAAATACAAAAGAATGATCTAATACATTTGATGTCGTTATGAGATCCAGGCATCCCAAAAAAGGCATGCCATATCCATAAATCTTGAGAAGCCACAGCCTTTAAAATAATAGTTGGTTCATGGATGTGACTAGAATACATACCTTTCCATGCAGTAGGACAATTTTTTCACTTCCAATGCATACAATCAATGCTCCATAACATACCAGGAAACCCGCGATTACTTCCCATCGCTAATAATCTTGAAATATCATCGTTGTTAGGGCTCCTCAAGTACCTCTCAGAAAACATTGCAACCACCGCCTTAACAAAGTGTTTTAGACTCTCTATGGCGGTAGGGCTGGCCCTGGCCTAAGGCCCCAAAATTTTGACCAAAAAATAGGACCCCCAAATTTAGTAAAATGTTATAGGCCCAATGATTTTTTATTTTTTTTAGGATCAATTTAAAAGGGCTTCAAAATATTTTATTGGGTCCATGTATGGTTTAGCCCATATTTATTTATTGGTGTATTTTGGCACATATTTATTAAAATGAAAATATATATTAAAAAAAAAAAGTATTTGGGCCCAAGAAGAACAATACATACAATATATGAGCCCTAATTTTTAATTTTTTTTTTACTTTCTTTATCTATTAGATTTTTGTGGAATAAATAATTTTGCCCTAATTTTTTTACCTAGCTGTTAGTTTTAATTGAATAAAATTTTCCTAATTTTTTTGTCATAATTTTGTTTCATTAAATTGTTTTGTTTATAATTTTAATGATTATATGTGCAAGTAAATTTTTTTGTGGCTACAAACAAATAAAAAAGTTGTAACTTATCGTTTTATCTATGAACTTTTTTTTTTTTTAATGTAAGAGGGGCCCCCATTTCTAAAATTCGCCTTAGGTCTCCTAAATCTTAGGGTCGACCTTGTATGGCGGTGCTTTCATCAATTTTCACATAATCATCCACCGAATCTGCTGCTACTCCATACGCGAGCATCCTTATAGCAGCTGTCATTTTTTGAAGGGAAGACAAACCAATGATTCCAATAGCATCTGTTTTCTGGACAAAATATAGATTGTATGCTTCCACCGTAGATAGAATATGAAGAAAGAGAGATCGATTCATCCGGAATCTCCTCCTGAATAAATGGGCAGGATATACAGCTGTTTCTGAGAAAAAGTCTCGATAAAGTCTCTTATGGCCTTGAACTCAATCGCGATAAATAACTGCATGGCCTTCAATAGAACCACTACATCTTCTCGAACATCTTTCTCTATTGAGTCACCCTTCTTTCATTGTAACTATCGTTATTAGCTGCAATTTGTCATCACCGTCAAAGTCGTTAAGAATCATTTTCATGGTATTGCGAGCCATGGTAATTAAAAAATGAATGAAGTTGAGAAATATTCAAATTGGTAAAAATGAAAGAGCAAATCCTTTTTATAAACAAAAATATATGACCGTTAGGAATATGTCCGTTAGAAAATATTACCGTTAGAGAATAATACCGTTTGAAAATATGACCGTTGAGAGAATATTACCGTTTAAAAATATGACCGTTGAGATAATATGATTGTTTGAATTTTTTTTTTTATAAATAATTTAATTATATATTTTAAATAATAAATATTTGCAAATACCATGTCAATATATGTAGCATGTCATAAAAAGATTATTTATTTATTTATTAATGTTTATAATAGTTTTCTTTTAGAAATTAGTTAAGTTAGTTTGATTGGTTAACTAAAATAAAGAGCATGGTTGGAGTGTACACTAGCTAAACTAGTTAGGCAAAATAAAGAATGTAGTTTTCTGTGTACTTTGAGGAGGCATTTTAGAGAGTATGGTTGGAGATGCTCTAAACAGTATCGAAGTAGAGAGAGAAATGAGATTTGATTTAAGAGAGTCAAATTTCTATGTGATATATGAGTGTCGGCTTGAGAGATCTTACATATCATAAAATAATATTGTGGATCTCTATCATTACTAAAAATGAGGGAGGGACCTTAGACTAATTTTCCCAACAAAAAATTATTCATTCTGTTTGGTTTCAGTTTTCATAATCCACTTTTCAGAAAATGTTACTTTTCGTTTTCCATATATTTTTTTTTGTTTTCACTATTTTTTTTAATAATTTAAATATTTGTTTTTAATTTTTAAACACCCCTAACATAAATACACTTAAAAAATATAATATTTATGAAAAAAATATTTAAAAAATTCACTAAATACCAAAAATATAAAAAAAATGAAAATTCAATATATTTTTTGTATTTTTGTGTATTTATTAATTTTTTAAAATATTTTTTCACAAATATTTTAATATTTAGATACATCTAAGTAAGGTGCATCTAAATAATTAAAAAAATTGGTTAAAATTTTAAAAATATTCACTAAAAACAAAAAAAAAATGAAAAACAAAAAACTCAATACGAAAACAAAAAACTTAATTCAGAAAACTAAAAACAAACACATTGATTATTATTATAACTGTATATTAAAATAAAATTCTTACCCTATCTATAAAAATAAAAAATAAAAAAAATATTACCTTCTTCTCTCAAACCTTAATTCCTAAATCAATTGTATTTAACTCTCTTTAACATTTAATTCATATAACATTACTTTCATTTTGATCTGTAATTTATTGGTCGTTTGAAAGAGAAAATTAGTATAATTATATCATTTTTATCATTAATTTATTAGTTATTATCATTTTAATCTTATTGAAAGACAGATTATATAATTATATAAACTTGTAGAGTTTGTTGTATTTTTTCTAAAATGAAACAATTTAGACCCAGTCCTTACAATGTGGATGAAAATCCTAGTGAATAGGATTAAACCTTAGTGAATACAATTATTAGTTCTGATGAGAGTAATTTTGTCTTGTGAGAACCACTAATAATATTATTGCTATAACTCAGCAAATCATTCTTACTTTTAAAGGATAAGAAAATTGTAACTGGTGGCATGAAAATTAATTTTGCAAAAGTCCATGACAGAATTTCATGTGATTTTCTCTAGTAAAGACACAATAAACTTAATTTTGCCTCAAAATTGGATTAATTAAAGATTCTCTCCTAATCTTTTAGTGCTTTGTGTGGAAAGATTGTCTAATATGCTGATTGACAAGGTGAAAGATGGCAAGTGAAAAAAGGGATTAAAGCTTCTAAATAGAATTAATGCTCAAGATGTTAATGCTTGAGGGAAACTACCAAAGAAGCATAAATTAACGGAGAGGATCTCAATCTGCCATTTAGATACTTGAAATGGGAAACATAAATTAAATTAAAAAAAAAGAAAGCATTTTATAACAAAAATCTTCTAATTTACTATTAGAGCAGGTAGGGAATTAGTGGCATTCAATACTTGGTTTCCAATTTTTTGGCTCATGTCTTAAACACTCTCTCTGTCAACTGTTATTTCAGAAATTAACAATTATTTTAACACATTGTGATAGGAAGAGAAAGAGAAAGAGAAGAGAAGAGAAGAGAAGAGAGTTTGCCTCATGTCTTAATAAAAACTCTGGAGTGGTGCAATGGCAGTTAGGAACTGCTCCTGTGCAGTGGTAGTTTGTGTCTTCATATCTCTCTTCCCTCACTTTTTTGTTTTTGTTTTTGTTTTTGCTTTTGCTTTGAATCTAGGAGGCACTTGCATTCTTTCCTCACACCACTCCTCAAACCCAACTTAAATTTCTTTGAATGAAATTAATGGGTTTATTATATTTCCTCATATGGGAGATTTGGAATATTTTTAGTTCCCATACCATACATATTCAGAAGAAAACTTCCCTCTTCTCTCTATTTTACAGCCGTTACCAACTCTTCTTTCTTCCTTACCCCAATTGCATACTCACATCACAGCTCTTACACAGCTCTCTCTCTCTCTCTCTCTCTCTCTCTCATACTCATATAAAGTCTCTTCCTCTATCTCCCTTACGTATATGCCTTTTCATTTTCATTTTTTTTTAAAAAAAATTATTTTTCCCAATAAGATATTGTTTTCTGTAATTCGTGTGCATGTCCAGGTAACCTATGACATGATATCTGTGAAACTTAGCAATAGCATCTTCACTTTTCTCTTTTTATGTATGTAAATGGTTGTGTGTATGAATATATAGGAAAATACAAAGATCAGTGTGGAGAGATGGGCAAAGAAGGAGAAGCCCGCGTATCGCAGCCCTTAATCCATGGAAGCCAGTGCCACACCGACCAACACTACCAACCAGTCCCTCCTCCTTTTCTTCGCATTCACACAACTGCTTGCGGATGGAGGACGACCACCACCACCACCAGGGTGCCCCCTCCGATACCACTACCAGGGCCAGCATCAAAAGAAAACTCCAACAACCTCTACTTAATTCTCTTCTAACCAAACCCAAACAGGTTTTTGCATCTCTGAATTTTGTTTTGTAATTGTATGTATAAATTTGTTTCTTTCTTCTTTTAATTATCAACTGTTATATTCTTTTATATAATTGTATTAGTTTCTTTTATATATCTTTATTAGCGGGTAGGGCTTGGGGGTGGACCACAAAATGATAGTTTATGTGCTTGTATTTCAATCCCAAAAGTCTTGGAAGATAGAAGGCAAGCCACAGAATATAGTACAAAGTCACATGCCATTCATGCATTCTTGTTTGCATATGACATAATCCTGTACAATAAATATATCATTATTTTCAATGCTGGCTGTCGTTGTAGTTTGTTTGTTGTAGTAGTGAATTCTCTGCATCAACTTTTTTCCATTAATTTATTTTGTAGATTTTTTCTTATTAATTTGTTTGTTTGCTAAACTGGCTGCGAGTAGCTTAATTATTTGGTATCATCATTTTTTGTTTGTCTGTCAAGTAGAGACAAACAGATCAGACTCAATAATTCTTCAAGATTGTAATAATAAAGATTGCTTGTGTACATGTGAAATTATTTATGGGCTTCAAATCTTTAACATGTTGTATAAGTGCTGGTTTCAAAATCCATTTCAAATTATGTGCAGGGCATAGAGAGCCCAAATCATGAGCATCATTCAACCAATTGTGGTGAGTCGTTTTGCTCCATACAATATGTCACTGTTAATTACACAAATTAAGGTTTCTTACTCGATGGCATGTCACATCACTACGTAATTCAGTTGCTTCCTAAATCAGATCAACCATTGGTTATCAAACCTAAAGGAAGTGCAAAACTTGATGATAATGCTACCTCCTCTGGTTGTACAAATTTTCCGTCAAATTTGTAAATTTATCATATCGATCATGAGTATGAGGATAATGTCTTAATCGTAGCTTGTTATCGCTTCACTAGGTCAACCATCAGTTATGTCGCCCGTTCCATTCATGCCAGAAAAACGCATCCTTGAGCTTGTCTTGGACATATTGCAAAGGTGAGTACTACTCAAGTGTATTTTGCACCTTTTGAAGTTTAGGAATGGTAAAAGGAGAAAATGATTTAGGAAGAAATTTTGCGATGGTATATTTCTTGGAGGAAATATTTTGTTGTTTAAACATTTTTCTTTTGGTATTAGGCGAGATACAAATGAAATATTTGCTGAACCAGTTGATCCCAAAGAGGTTTATTTTTGTTTATTGATTTCATCATTTGATTGTTTTGGTCCCTACTAACCCACTATAATTGATGAAATTTCATGCTTCTATGTGAGGTTGAGGATTATTACGAAATTATTAAAGAGCCTATGGATTTTGGCACCATGAGGGCTAAACATCATGAAGGAATGTATACAAATCTTGAGCAATTTGAGGTTTGTTCCATTGTTGAAAGTTACTGTCATAAATTATTAATCTACTTCACAAGTTAAATTGTTCTTCACCATCTATTTGGTGTCTGTTATAATATGCAGCATGACGTATTTTTAATACCAAGAAATGCGATGCATTTTAACTCCACGGGTACCATTTATTTCAAAGAGGTATTGTTACCAGATTCTGGAAGAATTGTAGCTAACACAAAGATCTTTATTTTTCTTCATTAATTGAATACCGTAGTTTGATATTTCACAGGCTCGTGCCATATATGATCTAGCTAAGAAGGTTTTTCATGTTCTAAAAACTGATTTTGAAAACTTTGAATTGGAGTTCTCGGAGACAAGACGGAGATCAAGTAGGAGGCCTCAGGGAGAAGCCAAGGGTTTGAATTTTAACTCGAGTCCTAGGTTCGCTACAAATGTCAAATCCAGGTGTATGACTACTGATGTTTCGTCAAAAGGCACACGACGTTCTTTAAATGGTCCATCAAATCTAAGGAGAAATATCCAAGGAAAACCTGGGTTCTCTTGTACTCGTGTTGACACTAGAGAACATGATTTTCCCGCTGGTAAGTCTGGAATCTTTAGTTTCGTATTTGCTTTCATTAGTGTTTGTGTGTGTGTATGTGTATGTGTGCATCTCTATGCAATGTGCATGCAAGTCTTCTTGTAAAATGTAGTTTAATTGTCTTGTGTTCCTTGCATTCTGTAAACAGGTGCTAAAGACGGTAGAAGATCTAATTTTGTTGAAGTGGATCGGCGTTGCACATATAAACCATGGTTATCCTTCCACAATGAAAATGATTCTATTTTTTCAACAATTCATAGTGCCCCACAACCATTGTCTCCTGTAAGATTCCTTTCCTACTGTTTCATTCTAGTGAAATGATCTCTCTTACCTGTCTTATAACTATTTGTATCTCTTTTAACTGTATATTTTCATTTCTAGATTGTATTGAACCATCTAAAAATTGGCCTTGCTAAGACAATTTCATGTGCTCTAATACATCTAAATTGTTTATAGTGGTAGTTTTGAATCGCTTTAGTATTAGCTTTATGAATGACAAAGATTGACTTGTCAGATAGTCCTGATTATCTAAAGTGAGGATAATTACTTGGTGATTGTGGCTGTAGGTGAATCAATGTGATATTAGCTACAGGGAAAGTTTGATCTTGTTTGCTAAAGGTTTAGGACCAACAGCCCAAATGGTTGCGAACCGAAAGTTACAAGGATGCTTGAAAGATGATCCCAATTTTCAAACTCCAGCTTCAAACTCTTTCATACAAGTTGCTACAGGTCAAGTTCCTGCTGCATTTGCCTCTGCTCATAATGGTCCTAGTACTCTGGATACATTAACCCCAAATACGTCTTGGGACTTATTTGATCCCCTTCCTGGGTGTTGTTCAGCCCTTAAAACAACAACTACTGACATAATTGATTTGACTGACGCTGATGACGGAGAAAAGGCTCATACGAGTGATAGGATGGGTGATCGTAGTGGTTTGGGGGGGAAAATTGTGACCAACCGCGAACGTGATGGGAAGAAGACTTTTAGTATTAGTGACAGAGACAAGGTTCTCGAGAAACAAATCAGCAACACTCATCTGGGATTGAGTTCTTCTACTTCTGCAGCTGAAGTTTTGAATTCCTGCAAGTCTGTGGCTGCAACAGTGGACTCGAGAAAAACAGATAGTCAAGTGCAGCCATCAAATTTAGCTTCAGAGAATTCTTGCTCAAACAAGTTTGAATTCAAGTTGAGAAACAGTAACAGTTCAACACCATCATCTTCATGGATCTGGCATACCGGTGGGGTCTCAAGTTTGAATCTGTCCGATGGCACCATGGCAGCTGCAGTGGGACCAAAAGGTGAGAAGAGTAGCTCCTCCCTGCAGGAAGGGGGCCACACTGTGGAATCAAATGGAGTCGTGCCATTAGTCTCTCCGTTTGCTTTTGATCTACCATTCTTGAAAGCACGGCTTAACCAATTCCAGCAAGTTTCTGTTAATGAGGGACCAATTCCATCATCATCATCATCCTTGAGCCAAGTAAGCAACAGGCAAAGGACTTTTGGGCATACCCACCAAGCAGAACTGACCATTCAATCTTCTCAGTTGGCTATGGCTATTAATAATCAACAATATTCAGTACCATCTGACACTCCGGATACTAATTTGGCTTTACAGCTGCAGCTTTAAGGACTTTCAGAGCAACACGAAACTTTCCACAAGTACAAGCCGGAAAATTTTAAAACATTCAGAAAAATTTAATGTGATCATGTTACTTCTAGTTGGTGTTTAATTTTTATTTTGCATGAAAAGCTGTTGGATTGTCTTTGATGATTTCATGACAAGTAGTATCATAGCACTAATATGCGGCTTTAATGGCTAAGTGTTGGATTTGGGCTTGTTTAGTTCACAAGTAATTAACATAAGGGCAAATTACAAACACCCCCTTCGAAGTTTGGTGAAAATACAGATTTTCTCTTGAGGTTTGAGAAATTACATCCTGCTCCCTGAAGTTTATATTTTCATAACAAATTTTCCCCTGAGGTTTTATTTTCATACAGATTCCCCCTTAATTTTTCCTAATTTGTTATGCAAATTTGACCATCAAGGGGCAATTTATAATTTCTCAAACCTCAGGAGAGAATCTGTATTTTTATCAAATTTCGAGAGGTGTTTGTAATTTGCCCTTAAAATAATCATGAATCCAATACATCATTGCTAGTGATTAGCTAAAAGTTAGCAAACACCAAACTATTATCTATTACATAGAAATTTTGGAAGAAAAAAAGGGGAAACATTGGGCCACAGAAAATCCCTATTATACTATTATGATACATTAAAGTGACAGAACATATTACACACATATTGAGTTGGAATCCATTCTCTCTCCCCTCTCTCTCTCCAACTTTGCAATTTTGCAAATAGTTTAAAGATTATGTTTGGATTTATCAATTTGAAATTAAAGGATTTGTGGGTATTTATTTAAAGAATGGCTCAAATTTATATATTTATTTCAAGATTAAATTAGATAGTTACTGAATTTAATATAATAAAATACTAGTCTTCTATTTTGAAGTATATCTCTCTTTAAATCCACTAATAATAGCTTAAAATGTTCTCCTTAATCTCAAATCATTTTATCTAAAATCCATGAATTCAAAAAAGTAGAGTTTGTTAGACGTGATTTGATTTCCACACGCACATCTTTCCCCCTCTCTCTGTCCCTCTTTTGTTGGGAAATAGTCATTGCGGTGGTGGTGTTCCAGTGGATTAGTTAGTGGCAGCGGTGGTGGTTGAATAAAATATATTTACATGTTACTTATTTTCACAAGCTTTTTTCTTTTCTCTTTTCAAATTCCCACCAAACAAAGCGTAAGCATCTCTAGTACTTCCCCAATTCTTTCCTCAATTTCATGAATAAACAGCTAAAACTCAACTCCAATTAAACTTGTATCAAGGATGAATTACTCCTTCACCAAATTTCCAACATTGATATTTTTACTTAATTTTGTTGAAATTTTAAAAAGATTTAAGAATTGGATATGTTTTTTATTTTATTTTAAAAATTATTAAATGATTAGGAGAGGTTTGGGATAAGTTTGGAATTCTTAAAAGATTTGATGCTAAAAAAATAAATAAAAGTTAGGATTGGAGTACTTAGATTAAGCTTTTTAACCAAGTTTCCACTCAAATTAGATGAAAAATGAGAGTAAGGATTGGAGATGCTCCTTTGTACCTTCTATCTCATCTACATGCATATACGTCATTATACATGTGCTTGTACATATCTTGATGTCGGAAAAACGGAATTGATTGTTTTACCAAGATTTTATGTATGTATTGGATTCTTTTGTTATAATAAATTATCATGTAAATTTCTTAGAGCATCTCCAACAATGCATTAATTTTTTCATCAAATTTGAGAAAAGGTTTCCTTTGATATCAAGTGCTTCAACAGAGGATTTTGGAGCTTCATCAGAATATCGGTCAACCGGGTAGTGTATTTTTTTATTTTTTGGCCTTGAGGCGGACGACTGGACGGTCAACCGGCCAGTGCAATTTTTTCACAAAATTTTGCCTTGAGATGGTCATCCAAGAGGACATCCGGAGGACATCCAGCAACAACTATTAACAATGATTTGATGAAAGACACATTGGTTCTCAGTTTGATAAAAGAAAAATGAAATTTTGGATTTGATACCTATTTGATGAAACTGTTGGAGTAGAAAATGGGGGTTTTTTTACCAAATTCAAATTTGATGATAAATTTAAGTAACCATTGGAGATGGTTTTAGTATTGGGATTTGGTTCCACGCGTCTTGAGATACTCTAATCATGCTGAAACCGTGAGAAGAGGAAGAACAAATCACAAACACGCTGAAATCATGTGAGGAAGGGAACACTCAAACCACACTGAAATCGTGAGAAGAGGTCCTGAGAAAATCGCTTAGGGTCGCGTTCCACGCCTCTTGAGAAAAATTCCAAAACCCTCTTTTACGCTGAAATAAACCAAAAAATAAAAATGTGATAGGAAGAAAAGAGGCAATGTTGTTGATAAAATGGGGAGTCGGTATTTACCAAAGAGGAATTTCTGACAAGTTTTCTACAATGGTGGACAGGAATTTCCAATGAGTTTTTTCGATAGTATTCTTTGGACAACGTGAGTCGATTCCTTCTTTCGTTGAGAGTCGACAGGAATTTCAATGATGGACTGTCGATGCAATGCTCTTCACTGAAGCAATGGTGTTTACTGATGCAATGACCGTCGGCGCTCTTTTCAACAAGAGATGGACAGCCATCAAAAGGAGAAGGAGAGAGAATGTACAAAATTAGGTGGGTGTGCCTCGGATTTGATAATATTATGAATAATGGTAAATTTGGTATTAAGTGGGATGTTCAAAAAATCTTATTCAAATTTAGGATTTAGGGTGGGGCTCAAAGAAATGGGGGGTCTAAAGAATTTAGGAGGTGATAATAGCCGCCATCGTAGTTTATTGTGGATATTTTACTTCAAAATAAACACCATTAAAGTTATATTTACTTACAGTAATGACATTATCACATTATTTTTGTCAAGGTTTTTTTTTTTTTTTTTTTTTTTTTTTTTTTTTTTTTTTTTATATTTACTTACAGTAATGACATTATCACATTATTTTTGTCAAGGTTTTTTTTTTTTTTTTTTTTTTTTTTTTTTTTTTTGTAGTTACTATGAAAAAGTCAATTGTTCTATTTACTTTTCTCTATGTCTTTTCATAAAAAATTACAAAATCAATTAAAATAATTAATTCCTAAAATAACTCATAATTACACCCCCTCCCCCTCTTTTTGTCACCCTTATTTATTTTTGACACTTCTACACTCCCTTTGTTTGAACAAAATAATGAAAATATTTTATATGGAAAAAAAACTCAAAAAATGTTTTAAACGTATCTTTTAACAAAAATAAACTTATTTGGACAAAAAATATTTTCTACATTTAAACGGAGAAAAACATTTTTCGAATTAAAATTTTACCAATATCATAACACTACCATCGCTATTCTCACTTCTACCGTCACCATGGCAACCGCCACCATCACTGTCGTCATCATTGTCACCACCACCACCTCCATCTTTGTCTCACCATCACCGCTACCAAACATTTTAAAACATTTTTTGAAAAAATTTTCCATAAAAATATTTTCATTAAAGTATATTTTTTGTCCAAATCAAGGGAGGGTAAAAGTGTCAAAAATAAATAAGGGGGACAAAAGAGGTGTAATTAAGAGTTATTTTATGAATTAATTATTTTAATTAATTTTTTACAAAAAACGTATAGATAAGTGTAGCTTGTTTTTCGTGCTCCTTTCGGATACAATTAGTCCTACAGTTCGGACTCCCGTGGTTCTGAATCTGATTTCACAAGTGCAATGTGAAACAGTGAAAGCACAATAAGAATCCAAATCTAGCAATTCTTTTTGAAAAATCGATATTTGAATCAAATGCCAAAAATAGGCAGCTTTGTCATATTACAGAGTCGCCACCTAAATATTTTTTTAGGAAATTTAGGAAACCCGAGACTCGTGCTAAAGGCCACTTATCCGTTATCACCAAAGTGTCTCGGCTCGGGAACTTAGGTATGAGAGGGGAAGGTCATGAATTGAGCACCCCTCTCACCCGATCAAAGATCGGTCTCTACTAATAATGATGTGATTTTTATTTACATTATATGCTCTTGTTTCGATTATTAGCAATTTTTACTATGTGACGCACTCAAGTATAGACTAATTTTACAAAAGTTGGAATACTTTGATTTCATGTTTGTTTGAAAATTATTTTTGATACTCGCCACTTGAAAAGGTGAGTTCGTACATTAATCAATTTATCCTAATTTTAGCAATTAGCCTTCATCCACCGACATTCAAACAAGTATATCAATTAAGCAATTAACCTCATAGAAAGCATGCTTGATATGACAACACAAACATACGATGTGATATGCTAAGACAATAAGTGCTCACCTAGTACTCCAACGCAAGCCAAGCCAATCAAAGCAAAATAATTAGAAAACATGCACACCCCTATATGATACAATGTGACTAATACAATACACACATTTATGCAATTTTTAATAGGCTCGGCTAGTGTGATAACCATGTTCCGTGTTATGCTAATTAATCTTAATTGCGTATGTGATTATGTGTTTGATATGATTTTGAGTGCTATTTATATTAATATATGTGGTTTTGAATTTCTATCTGTTCACCGTAGGAATATCTATTCAACTTATTGTTATAAACTGGAAATTGAAGGCCCTATGGGCCACAGAAACCAAAATTAATTACGCCATTGTGATTGGCGTAATTTTTAGAGCCTACAGTGAAATTTAATTGAAAATTAATTCGGATCGATTAATTAGATTAAATTGATGATATAGTGCTCAATCATTTAATATTGATAAATGCAATTAAGGGAGCTTGTATAAAAGGGCCACTATACACTCAATTCCTCTCTTTATTTCAATTTGGCAAAGATTATCTCTAAGGAAAGAGAGTGAGGATCGGCTAGAGAGAGAAGGGGGGGAAACAATTGGAGATTTGAGCAAGGAACTTGGAAATCTTGGAGATTAACTCAAGAATTGGCTAGAATTTGGTGTTTGAAGCTCCTAGGTGAGTAAATTCATGGATTTTAGTTTGTAACTTTGTGAATTC